TCATAAAAAAAAGGCTTCGATTTGTTTGAATGTTATAATTTGAACGACCTAGGCAACGGTAGTAGCATACTTTATTCTTTAATCACTAATCACAGACATCCTGGATTTTCAGCATTATAGATCAACAATTTCATCAAATAATTTGTTAACTTCGTAGTAATAGTACTCTCCTTTAACAACAAGATTTCTAATAATTATTTTTAGCTACTTAAACTATGGAATCAGTAGTGTTAGTCATTTCCAATTTCTAGCATTTTACATTCAAATCTGCTTTATGTGACAGTGGTCAGTTATTCAATCACCTATCTTAAAATGATATTCCATTTGAAAGATTAAACAACATTCTAACCCGAATCCACTTTATGATCGACGATATTACATGTGTATTTCAAATGTGCAAGACACCGAACAATTATTTTTTTAAACAGCTTAAATGTTATTAAATTAAGATAAATATGAGATCGACATTCTCTGTTCCTTTTAGTCCACTGACATCCAACATATCCTTAATATCCGAGACGCGTAGCAATATACATTTTCTTAAAAAATTGACCAACAAGAACGGGTAATTGAATTGGAAATAATACAGGACACAACTCTTTGACTGCTGTTAGGCAAAAAAAAAAACCCCCAAAAAACGTTTCTAACTGTATTAAACTAAACTATTATTAAAACGCCTGAAACTGCATTTTCGGAGTTCAAATCCATCATCACGCTATCTGTAGCATCGCTTATCTGTTAGATTGAGATGATGTTGTTCATCACTCGGGGTCCTCATTTGTTTGTTGATATATAAGACGAAAGATTAACTGCATGTTGTGACCAGGCTAGAACATTCCAGTATAGGGCTGCCCAAGGACGTAATAAATTAGCAAACGATTGGGTATCTATATAGTTCTAAAAGGACAGATTAAAAACGAAAGCATAGATGCCCAGTTTATCAATCGTAAACGTCAGATCCAAGTTTATTATTCTGTCCGCCAATATACATTGTATTATCAAGGCGCTGCCCTGTGCAGCTCACGGGGTTATCATTTACGCAAGCCCTGGTATGATCACAAGACTATTTGTGAAAAGATCAGACTCGCCTGTATAATCTGGGCATTATATCGAAGCAAATGGTTAAATTTCTTCAAAAATGGGTTCTCTCCTTTCTCCTCTTTCCAAGAGGAGGTTTAATGAATGAAAGAGGTAATATATACTTGTCAGAGAAGAAATAGCTGTGTTACATCTATCTCTCTCTCTCTCTTACTAATACTAATAATGCGACCTCCATCCTACAGATCCATTTAGCCTCATACATATTGCAATGACACCGTATGTTCATGTCCTTAAATTATTACATTTCTTGTGAACAAGCTCTTGTTATGCAAGATACGCCCACATTTAGCAAGAGGTGGACAACGCCGGATTAACCATGGTGGGGGCCCTGGGGCCTGGAACATGTAGGGGGCCCCTTATCACCGACCGAGGAGCTGTGTCGGCCACCTCGAGCGCTGAAGGCGCGAAGCCCCGCAAGGGTGGTCTGGGGGGATTTTCCCCCCAGGAAATTTTCAGAAATTGGAGGCCGGAAACGTGATTTCCTGGCATTTCAGGCTCTTGTGTCGGAGCCATTTAGAAGTACCTCACCCAGAAAAAAATAAAATTCTGCCACAAAATTAGCGCATTCTGGCGTTATTTCAGTGGACCAATCCATGCGAGTGCTATGAAATGATGGCATTTCTAGAGGAGGGGGCTCTAGCCCATTGAGCCCGTTAAATCCGCCACTGTAAGTGAGCAGAGCTATATCAAACCTAATTTTGAAGTCGCTCAGTGATAAATAACGGGGTCACTTGATTGGGAATCGTATTATATCCCCCACTATGATTTGATGAATGGCGGCCGTAACGTTACGACCAAGCCGGACTCGATTTTTGACGAACGTTGAAAATATGAGGCGGCATCACCGGAATACACCGAATTCTCGGATGTCGATCGCGACACACCATGGATTGAGGGGCCCCAGGGACTTCCGATGGAGGGCCCTCGGAAGTCCCTGGGGACCCGTCACTAGGTCACCGGCCGTTAGAGTCCTCGGTCCGACCATGCTCGAGGCGCGCAACTGAGATTTTTGTGGGGGGCCCTCTAATGTGGGGGCCCTGGGGCCTGGGCCCCATGGTTAATCCGGCGTTGGAGGTGGTCAGAGAAAAGCTAGAAAAAGGCGATTTTCGTACCATCCGATACGCACAAGTATCTACAGGTACCGAGATCTTTGGGATAGAAACATATGTTTTAAGTTTCATCAACATCGGATATAAATTGTAACCTCTAGAGCCACAACCTCGAATTCTAATCAACCAATCAATCGTTTACAGTCATCGGAGATGGGACCGTCAGCAGAAAATTTAACTGCCGCGAACGCGTTTTCATGCTATTCCTGTCCGTGAATACATCAACTTCAATGTGGTCCAATATAGCCTACCTTAGGTGAATTACCTGAATCTCAAACAACCAATCAATCGTCGCGGGGTATGGGGGCCTCGCGCTCCCTGAGAAAATGTTGAAAATGTAACCAGAGCAAATGAGTTTTTCTGCTATTCTAGCCCACGAATTAAACAACTTCAAAGTTCCCAATCTGTTTGCAACCGAAACCCCACTCTTTGTCGACGTATTCCGACCATCCAATCAGACTGTTGCAGCTGCATAATTCACCAATTATAATCGATGCCCGAAAAATGTTGCACAAAGTAGATTGACTTCAGACAAAATGTTTTAATCCATAGTCAATTCAATACAAATTCGTGGTATTCAATTAAAAGAAGAGTAAAATTAGTGTTTCATCAGATTTCCGGCACGTTTCTTTGTCAACAGTCATGAAATAATTTTTGTTTTCACTTGATTGACCGAAAGTTAGCTACAGGGGGCTTTTTGACGTTTTGGTGTAGAATCGAAGAAAGGGGTTTGAATATACATTTTCTGCCAGGTTTTGGTGAATATTCATGATTTTAAGGCGGAAGGATACGAGAGTTAAGAGGTTGGTTGGGTTGAAATGTAGGGTGGAAAACTGCAAGTTTGTGTATGTCAAGTTTTCCATGATAAACCTCATACGTGCTTCTGAGCAAGCGGTTGTCATATGTTGCTCCATCTGTTGTAGAAAGCGTTCTTTCCAACGAAAGTTTGGGAAAAGTTAGAGTCGGTCTAACAGACGAGAATTAACATTAATTAATATACTATTCAAAAAAAGTAGGGGATATTTGATTTTGGGGGCATAATACTAAAATATGCAAATGACTACGAAAAAAGTCACTATAGAACCTAACAGAAGAAACATTTCCAGTTACATGTGACGCCCAAACGCACCAATAGCTACCGCATGGAATGCAGGTGATGCTTGGGATCATCATGGGGGTCCAACCCAAGATTTGCACGACTCTGACTTTGAATGTTACAGTCATTGTGGCATTGAATTCCAGGGTGGAAACATCAGTTTAATTGTTTTAGTGACCAGAAAACAAATTTTGATATGCGTCGGCTTACCCAAAATGAAAGGTTACGTGCCCTTGGCATGCTACAGATCGGCACAACACAGGCGGTTGTGGCGCGGACGATGAATGTTTCTCAGTCTGTCATAAGCAGGCTATGGTCCAGATACCGTGATACACAATCTGTACAGGACAGACCACGCTCAGGTCGACCAAGGGCGACAACTCAAGCCCAGGATCGATTTATCCGTACCTTGGCCTTGAGAAATCGTGTCATCACAGCAACTCAGATCAGCGCTCGTCTTCAAACAGACACTGGTGTGAGAGTGAGTGGCCAGACGATTCGGAATCGACTGCATAGGGGTCACCTTCGCGCCCGACGTCCTCGCGTGATCCCTTGTTTGAGAGATCATCACATTCAGGCAAGACGTCGTTGGTGTAGGGATCGTCAACACTGGGATAATCGACGCTGGAGCAATGTGATGTTTTCAGATGAGTCAAGGTTCACTGTTGATTTTTTGGACATACGTAGGAGGGTGTGGCGTCGTCGAAACGAGCGCTTCCAAGACGTTAACGTCATCAGACATGATCGATTTGGGGGTGGTTCTGTTATGGTGTGGGGAGGCATCACTGTTGCTGGAAGAACGGCTTTACATGTTGTTGCAGGGCGTGTTACAGGCCAGTACTACCGGGACAACATCTTGGCAGTCCATGTTGTGCCGTTCGCACGACGTCATGGCCGCCGTTTCATCTTCCAGGATGACAACGCAAGATGTCACAGGGCCAGGATCGTTACAGGTTACCTCCAACAACAGAACATCACCACATTACCTTGGCCAGCACTGAGTCCCGACCTCTCCCCCATCGAGCATGTCTGGGACATGCTTGGACAGAGGTTACGTCAACGTCAACAACGTCCTGCCAATGTCCAAGAACTTGCTGCTGCGTTGCAACAGGAATGGGACAATCTGGACCAAAATGACCTTAGACGTCTCATTAGGAGTATGCCACGTCGGATCAATGCTTGTTTGGCAAACAGAGGAGGATTTACCCGTTACTGACTTGGTTGTGATGCTGTGGCAACTTTGCTGTTTGACCCCGGGTATCATTTTACCCTTATAATGGTCAGTCTGTGCCTTACTTAGTCTAACGATCATTTGGAATAAATCGATGAATGTGAACTTCATTTCATTTTGTCATTTGTTTCTTCGTCAGTTTCATTAGGTGACTTTAATAACACTTAAAAATCAAATATCCCCTACTTTTTTTGAATAGTATATATCAAACGAAAAATCATGTATGCTAGTTCTATGTATATAATTATTAAAGGGAAATAACTGCGATTAATCAAATAATGTTAAATGGTATTTCATTTTCATATTATCTGTATTAATCGTGTTTGGCTGTGAAAAGTAAATAGATAAATAAATATATAAACCATATATCAATGTTACTAAACGAGAGAACACAATTTTGTGTTCCAGAAATACGAAACATTCTCTACGCTATTTATTTTTAATCACGATTCCCATATGTGACGTCACGACCCACGTGGTTTTACATGCTTGCCGCCATATTGGTGCATATGGAGCACGTTTTATTTCAAGGGGTTTTCAACGTGCCATCAACTATAGTTTATGTAAATTAGAGCTATACAAAGTATCTGAATATGCCGGCGTATTTTCAGCGCCCCGAAAATGCTCTTAAAAGAGCGAATGGTAAGATCACAAGTGGTTTTGTAATGTGGAGGTGTTGGAACCCATAAAATAAAAATGTGCACCACATAATTGATTTGTCGATAAGTCAGCGCAACCATCTGGTCCTAGTACAACTTTGAATTAAGACAAATCTGCCTTTAACGAAATTATTTTTTTTAAAGCATATGGTCAGTCGTTGAATAAAATGGCGTGGTTTCGGTCCCAAGCGTCCATAGATGATCAGGAGTAGAGAATGGTTCCAGTCCTCACTACTGATTTCTTAACTCACAAATTTACGTACGGTACGGTAACTCAGGGCCGCGGTAACTCCGCCATATAAGACAAAACGAAATTTAGGTAAGCAGGTGAAACAAATTTGGAATTTTTGAAAAAATTTGATTGCAATTTCAAAGATACCAGTCTCCCCCACCCCTCCCGTTTCATCAGGTCTGGCCAAGTTATGTAAATTTTGCCCCCACTTTTTTCACTTCAAACTTTTCAACTTTGGCATTGTATCACTAAAAGAACCTTCCCGAGCCCAATTGTGCAGTAATCTCCCAACAACAGATCCATCTGTAATCTCCAAGATGGGTTATCCAGAAACGGAAATGCAGCAGCGAAGTCTGGGCTATCACCTCAACCTTTTTTCAGTTTTTCTCTAAGTTTGCTCCTTTTTTATTTTTGCATTTTGTTAGCAATATGCTTGGATAGATCTTTCTGAAGCTCTGCCATGTATTTCTGCATTTTTCTTCTCGGTTGAGCTGCAATCGATATTGGCCGTTTTATTACATCCGGGGGGGGGGGGGTGGATGGCTGAATGGTTAGCGTCCGCGCGCTGTATCATAAAGTCTGTCATTGAGTCGACTGGCTCGACTGGTTTCAAATCCCCGGTTGTACGTGACAAGTAGTAGGGTCACCTGTCCATCCTCGTGGGTTTTCTTCGGGTCCGCCGGTTTCCTCCCACTGCTAAAGGCCCCTATGCGCAAGCGAATTATTAAAATAAAATTAAACCATATGTTAGTCCCGAAATGACCTAGTTTGTGTCGAGTGGACGTTAAACCCCATTTCTCTCTCTTTTTATTACATCCTGTTGTTTGGACTTGCTCATTGATTTAATATACTGACCTGTCTTTTTTTTCCCCCCTTAATGTTAAAAGACACAAAAAGGAGGGTCAATATTACCTCCTGATTCAATATTATGGGTACACACTTTCCAGCCAATCTGCAGAGTATATCTGATTTTGACGAGATCTCGTGCGTGCAAAGAAAATCCTTACTAAATTCCGGCGTGCAACCTAACACTTCAAGCGTGATGAAGATAAATCCACGAGTCATAAATAAAGCTATTTATGTTTGGCGTGTAATTTCAAAAAAGTACCACTGAAATTCAAAATTATAGCAACCACTGCACGCGTACATTAGCCACAAATGGCAACTCAACTGGGTCAATTTGACTCGCACACTGAGTCACTTCACCACTTACCGTTATGGTAGTTGTCTCCCTTGCATGTCGGGTATTATCGAATGCGGATCAACGAGTACCGTATACGGGAAAAAAATGACAATTAGTACTGATTAAATTAAAGTCGCTACAGGCAAGGTAAAAATGTTGTGCCAAACTTGCGTGAAAATCTAAAGAAAATTTGCGTGCACTGATCTCTGAAAAAAATTACTCGTGCATGCACCGGACATACTCTGCAGACTGGCTTTCCATGATGCGTTTCTGGTCATCTGTGTCCTCAGAGGTATAATAGTTAATTTACTGTCATAGGATTCAACAACTGCCGTGAGAACGACTTTCATCATCACTGAGAATATTGATTGAGCGACATCATCTTTCTATATCCTTTTATCTTTGTTATCGTCAACAATATCACCAAAAAATCTTTGAAGTCGGCTGCTTAAAACACTTCTTGACCTCAAGGAAAGCATCCGTATGATGCATCTGGTACTCTTGTCCCCGGTGATAATGCTTCGTCCAGGGGGCCTTGTTAGGACATTCCCAAGAACGGCAAGAAATTTAACTCCAAGAAGGCAACAGGGTGTTTGAAGTCTTCTATAATAATTTTGTATGAGCACTGCATGAGCTTGAACAAGACATGAAGTTGATTTCCGCTGTAATCACTATTTGGGTAGGTTATGATCAGACAGCATGGGGTCTCCCTTACTGTTTATAATGTATCTTCCTAATAGCGAGGGTAATCCTTTCAGCAAACAGCCACTCCTGTAGAGTTTTGGTTTATCACTTTCTAGTGAATGCAGAGTTGATGACTTTTTGAAGTAATACTGTCCAAAGGATGCAGGTGACAATTTAACTCAAGAAAAGTTTTACCAAAACATTCGTTCACTATTCGAATTGCTGCATGATTAGCTGCTGCCCTATCAGTCATGGTACTGTTTATGTGTGACAGAAGTGTCTCTATTACCTCACTAAATTCAGCATCTTAGTGAATGTCACAATAGGTACATGTACGTGCTAGATGGCTAACTTAATTCAACTAAATGAGAATAAATACAAAAACATTTAATCTGGAACACAATTACTATTTTAATTCTGAATAGTTCAACTTCGTACTTTGCATTTGTATTCCTTATGGCCTAAGGGCGTCAACTATTGATTTTAGTGAATGCCCCGACCCCCAGGGGCAGAGCCTTTAGTGCTCGAAGGCCACAATTCTGAATGGATTATTTTGTAACTTGGTATACTTATTCCTTATACCCCAAGGACGGCAACTTGATGTAGGTGCACGACCCGCTACTCCCCTTAATCTTAATGAAACAAAACAATAAACTTAACAAGAATCTGATTTGGCACAATTTACATCAGGTAAACAATAATAGCAAATTATTTTGCATTGACTCCCAGTCAGTAAAACTTTAAAAGTTGGTCACTTAATATTAATGTCATTAAAATCCTTTTAAAGTACATGTAATCGTAATGAAACAAAACATTTAGTTGACAAGAAGCTGATTTGGCACAATACATGTACATGTCTACAGTAGTTGGGTTTCGAGGTAATCTGACAAATTTATTTCAAAGTTAATCATGCCTCTCCTAATATCTGTTGGTGGGGGTAGTTTCTTATGTGTGCTGAATCTCTTCTCAGGCCAAACAAAGTTACCACCAGCTCTTCTTACAAAATCGACTTTGAAATCTTCATCCACATTAGCATCTAAGACTGAAAGAATATTCCCGATGAAGTACTTAACGGATCATTTAGTTGTAAATTTGACTAATACCCAGTGTCCCGTTATCAGATCTCTTTGTTACAGGTTCTTTAGGTTCTTCTGCTGCAACTATATCCTCATACTCTTTAACTTCACTTTCACTATCACTTTCACTACTTACAACATTCACTGATTTTGTGTTTTTTCAGTTTCTTCTAAATCTCTAACTGAAATGCTTTTTCCAGGAGAAATTCTACTTCGTCTTTTTCTGATTCTGGTTGTTCTGGTGAACGCATTTGGGTAAGCATTTCAGTTACACAATTTGACTGTGTGCTGTTAAGAGGAAGGCACACAAAGCTAATATTATCATTGCATTCCTTTATAACTTTCTGTGATACATGTAGATGAAAAGAAAGGTTATCTCCAATTAATATCGTCTTGCCATTTAACCTTTTACAGAAAGGAAAATGAGCATCAAACCATCCACTTTTTGTATGGTTGTATCTTGTATGAGGTGGACCACCTTGACACCATGCATCTCATATGTTCTGCTTTGTAAACTACATATGGTGGCCATATTTCACCTGCTGCATTCCAGCAAACATGCTGGTCGATGATTTTGTGCTGTTCATTATTCGTTCTGGGTATTTAGTCCCCCTTTTAAATACATGTATGCATTTGATCCTTCCTGGGTCATCTGATAATTTGTTTCATCATAGTTGATGTTAGTTGCAGGTACATCCTTCACTACTACTTTTAGATTATCAAAGTACATATCAATAACTTTAGCATCTGTAGCTGCTCTTTTTCTTGATATATTTTGACACATTCTTGTACATGTATTTAAAATATCATTGTGATGCATTAAAAATGATTTGCACCATTCTAATCCATCAGAATAGTTTTTATAGTTCCTTGCACCTACTTGTTTTTTTATAGTGTCTTACCAATTTTTACACCTGGAAAGGAAGATTTTATTAATTGTACAGAACTTTCGGGCCTGCAAATAAGTGACCAAAGTCACCCCTAAAAATTTAGGGGAGAAATTAGTTGTGGACATCTTTTCAGTAGTATATTATGTCTGTTCACTTGCTGTGCTTAGTCCTTTCTGAAGGACAGAAAGTTCGCTGAAGTTAAAAATTCTTCAAAAATGAGCCCTAAAAAAAAAGAATTCTTCAATAGATAATAAACAATTCTGAAGTTCAATAATAGCACTGACTTTAAAAAAAATGTGAAATTATAACTCCTACTAGAGATAGGTTGACCTGAATATTTTTTTCCAGTCAGTCAAAAGTTAACTCACTGTTCAGTCACATCATTTTATGGTAATATTTTGTCTGTAAATTTGGCAAAACAAACCCTCCCCCAACCCTTTTTGCCTCTTGTCATATTACATCCATTTCATATTTCATTCTGTTCATTTTAAAAAGTACCATATCAATCAAAGCAGGAATGTAGACGTATATTGCAACGTTGGCGATGCTCTTGTTATGGTTAATCATTATTATAGGTTGGATTCAAATCTGTAACATCATACCCGATAGTTGATTATGTTCTTGTAGTGTTAATAAATGTGACCTGCAAAAGGTAGATTTAGCTCTTGCATAATGTATGCTAAATTAAGTGATTTTTTTTTCTTATTTTCAGAGTTTATGGATGTTGGCAAGAGGCAGAGAGCCCTTGAAACTCTGTCCGATGTCATTAAAAGTAAACGTCATAGGACATGGCAGAAGGTCCATGAGCCTATTATGCAGAAGTATCTTCAATTATGTGTTGAACTACGTAAAAGTCATATTGCTAAAGAAGGCTTGTATCAATACAAGAATATTTGTCAACAGGTTCGTAAAAACTGTTGTTTCTTTTACTAAAAAGCATAATTTGCATCCTCATACATTTAACCCCTCATTGACTGGCACTAAGTTGATGTAAAAGTCTGATGTTGCTTGTACAAGTGGTATAATTATTGTACATCAAGAAGTATACCAGCTGGTTAGTCTATTTAGCTAGATACTGGGATCTTTCTTTTTGTGACATTATCTGTGTCTCTTGTTGAGTAAACAGTGTTAGTAAGATGGTTAGCAAAAGGTCTGTCAATTGAGTTGAAGTTGCATGGATTTAACCCCAGGCTTCTACATGTCAAGGGACTAGAAGGGTTGCTCGACAAATACTAAAGACCTTACAAGTGAATTATTTAAATATGTTCCATAAGTTTGTCCCAAAATAAGTTTGTTTTGAATGGATGTTACTATTTTTATACATTTATATTTAGAATACCTTGCTTTTCAGATAACAGGTTATGTTTCAGCTTTTGAATGATTTAGCAGATCTGTGGAGTTAATATTGTAAGAGGAAGTTTAAATTTGTATTTTTCAGGTGAATATTGCATCACTAGTAGATGTTGTAAGATGTTATATTCAACTGGCAGAAGAAAGAACAGAAGCTGCTCGAGAAAAATCACACCAAAAGGTGGTTGATGTTGATGATTTGGATCTTCCAGATTCTCCTGAAAGGTAGGTAGCCAGTGTAGTAGTTGACTACATACCCAAATTATATTGTAAATGCAACACATAATGGCTGAATAACATTGATGAAAAAAGTAAAACATACTGCATGTTTTCTTATTTATAAATTGAAAGAAATGGACAAATTGAATATCAAACTGTTTTAGCATTTTGGAATCACTACAGAATCTTTTTAATTGTGGTCCTTTTTGATGTGAGTAAATTATTTCAGAAAAAGTATGTGACCTATTTACTATCGACTTAAGTGTGCGTATGAAAGGGTTGACTGCACACGCAATCTATCTGGCTATTTAAAGTGCTGGATAGCCTAGCCAGCATTTGGTCATTAACTGAATCTGCACTAATGCTAATCAGCGGATATCTATAAATATGATCTATTTATAAGATGGTAAGATTAGCATATATCATAAACTAGGTTTTAAAACTACACTGTTTTAACTTGTATAGTTAAAATAGATTTCATTAAAACCACAAGACCTAATTGAGGATATGTTGCTAAAACTGATGCTCTGATAAAGTTTTGAAGCTATGTATATGGCTTTATGTAGGATGTCCCATTTTAAAGGACTTTCGAAAATTATTTTCAGTATATTATTGAAAGCTGTAAGTGGTGAAGATACCCAGGATAGAACTGATAGAGCCATCCTCACACCATGGGTCAAATTTTTGTGGGAGTCGTACAGACAGTGTCTTGATTTACTCAGAAATAATTCCAGAGTTGAAAGACTGTATCAAGATATTGCTCAACAAGGTAAATGCTAAATTGCTGAGTGATCAGGATTTTCTACAAAAAGAACGATGGCAAGCAGTTAATCACTAATTAAATTAGGTCTTGAGCAGCAATGAATAAGCAGGTTGGCTAGTCTTATGGAAAGCTCCTGAGATGGAGTTTTACATTAATTTCTATAAATTTACTATTAAATTATTCTCTTAACAAGAGATTGTTAATCATTGATTCAAATATTGGTAGAAATTGCTAGTCAGCGGATATCTATAAATATATACTATTTATAAGATGGTAAGATTAGCAGATATTATAAACTAGGATTGATATCACACTGATTTAACTTCTATAGTTAAACTGGATTTCATTAAAACCACAATAAGACAAGTCATGTTATTCTTAATCTAAGTTGTTGGCAAGACATGTCAGTATCTCAATTTTGATTGTTTATTTTATATTAACTGTATTTTACAATTATTTATTTTCAGCATTCAAATTCTGTCTCAAATATGCCAGAAAGACGGAGTTCCGAAAATTATGCGACAATGTAAGTAAACTATATAATTACTGATATAACCTGGCAAACATTATCAGAAATTTAGATGAAATTTTGTTAAGTCATTTAAAACAAAATACAAAGTCAGAATATAGAATGACATTGAATTTTTTTTTTCCTTTTCTTATAGTTGCGTACCCATTTGGGACACATTCACAAACATCAACATCAGCAGACGGCTATTAACTTGAACAACCCTGATTCACAAGCCATGCATCTGGAAACACGATTGGTACAACTAGATTCAGCTATCAATATGGAACTCTGGCAGGTATGTTAACCTCTAAAATCATCAAACATGAAAGCACATAAACTTCTTTGATTTCGATCAAGTATTGGATTGGGTTGACGTGTAATTTTAAGTGCTCAGTACCATGTATTAAAATTTGTTTTGAAAGATAAGCATCGTTTGGCTTCTTTTCTAACATTGGTTTTATCACCAGACAGAAAATTTGTATCAGATAGATTGTCGTTCAATCCCACAAACATATGCAATCATTCAATTAAGTTTTTATCACAATCAAAGTTGTATAGCCATTATCCCTTAAGGGGGTGGACAGTAGAAAATTTCAGTTTTTTTAATAATTGAGGTAAAGTCACCATTCTTACACATCTAAGAACACATCCATTGAATATTACAAAAACGGCCGAAAAATTTTCCTGGGGGTACATGTTGCTATGGAAACGGCGGCCATCTTGGATTTCTGCATATAATTTTAGTCATCCAGTTTCTCAGAAACTATTCAACAGAATGTTTTAAAATTAAGCAGAGAGGTTACTGACATGTTCCTTTGTGCAATAGGCAAGTTTCATTACAAAATAATAATTAGAAAGCAAGTTATACACATTTTAATGTTAACTTCAAAATTCTTTCACGTGTCACAGTTGCTATGGCAACAATATATCAGGAACTATTTTGCAGATTTCAATAAAATTCTCCTATTGCACAAAGTTATTATATAGAAAATTATATTCCAAGTTTCAAGAAAATCTGACGATAATTTCCAGAGATATAGCATGACTAAAATTGGTAACTCTAGAAAAAAACTGTTTTGAGAAATCAACAACTGAAGTTGAAGTATTTCAGTAGAACAACTTACGCCGATCTGTTCAATTCATTTATTTAATATTAAAAAACTGACTTTTAATATATATATTTTCTAATGTTTTTCTTATCAATATACAGTATTTTCTTATTTTATTTCTTGTGTGTAAATTTACAACCGAACATTGGCATAGGAATAGATGTTATTCAAAACAACCATAACTATAATAATCACTGACAGCAGGCCTACCTGGTAATGGTATTGCAACCATACCACTACTAGGTCTAGCAGACGAATATTCATCTTCATTTTGTTTATTATGAGTGTCTGTCATACTTATTTAGTCATCTAAACAATTTCAAACGCATTTTATTTGAAAATCTTCAAAAATATTGATAAACAGTGACGTACGGTTCAGCAATATAGCAACCAGGATTGATTTGGGACCTGAGCTTAGTGCGCATGCCTATTGACCTGACCTAGAGGATTGCCCGCTTCTGATTGGACACTTCACCATTGACCTATGTGACCGACCAATCAAATAACGTAATCTTGAAATAACCTCATTAGGTATGCAAATCTTGTTCTTGCTTGCTATTTTTATCTCAATACAGAAGAAAGGTTTCAAGACACCCCCAAAAAACGTCATTTCCTTTCAATAGGGGAAATCCCAAGCTTTCTAACAGTATCCAACATGGCGACAGTTTACCGGTCGGAAGCCAAGTATTTCACGTATGAAATGCCTATTGTTTTTAGATTTATATCAATAGTTTTAGCGGAATTAGGGCAAAATAAAAAAGGGTGGGATCATTCAGAACCAAATTTTGTAGAAATAAAGAAGAATTTTGTGAAAAAAATGACTGGTATGTGTTCCTAGATAGTGTTACTCACAGATAATCATAAAACCTCAAAAACGATTTTATTGTTAAAATTCACCAAATGAAGTGCGAACGACGGCCTTAATATGCCAAGTCTATTAAAGAAAGGGTTATAGTCTGTCATTGTAAACTAGTTTGATTATTATGTTGTATAGCAGGCAGATATCAACATGGCTAACATCACACTACATATATGATGATTTTATTAATACTATATAGTGAATAAATATAAAGAATCTTGTCTTGGCAAACCCATGGATGCTTAATATGCATAGCAAATACAACTGCTTAGGTATTTACCTACTTTTTATTTCAGGAAGCTTTTAAAGCTGTAGAAGATATCCACGGATTGATCAGTTTATCCAAGAAGCCTCCACGTCCATCGCTTATGGCTAATTATTACCAGAAACTTGGTCTTGTCTTCTGGAAGTCTGGAAATCGATTATTCCATGCCTCCACTTTACATCGTCTTTATCACCTGTCACGAGAACAGAGAAAAAATCTTGCGTCTGAGGAACTCACGCAGTAAGTGAATACACAACATCTTGAAGCCAAACATATGCCTTTTGTTAAAGGCTTTGTGTTACTGAAAGAATGTCATTTTATTTAGCATTAAAAAAGCTAGTTAGATTTCGAGGGGGCGAGTAAAGGTTATATTTTGATTGTATTAATTTCGCTAGATCTTGCCCAGTCATCCCCAGTTTAAAATATTCTGTCTCCACTGTACTGCTACATCACGGGCCACTGTGGCTAACTGGAGGTTGTGGGTTTGATACCTGTGTTGGCCGAGAAAGTTCATGAGCGTTTTCCAGCATGGCTTCCCCTTGTCTGGTGCGGGACTGCCACACCAAAATGTTTTAGGAAGTCCCAAATTGACGTGTTGTGAGTCGGACATTCAAACTGACCATTCATTAAATAGTTATTGTAAAATATTTTTTCTTGTAGGATGGCATCAAGAGTTTTATGTGCCACATTGGCTGTACAGATACCGCCATCACGTAATGCAATTGGAGAACTTTTAGAGATGAATGAAAGTACGATGGAGAAGAAACGCCACCTAGCAACACTACTAATGTTACCCAACCCCCCAACTAGACAGGGATTGATTAAAGATTTGGTAGGTTCTTCTGGGCGTTGATGAATCTTCATCAAAAGTTATAGAATATTTTTCAGGAATAAATAGCAATTATTATTCAATTAAAGTACAAAACAATATTCTCGCAAAAACACTAAATGCCCAAAGTGGCAAACACTAATCAGCAATGTGAGAGTAACACAACAGTTGCAGCAGGGTTTGCATCAAGATTGACAACTTTGCTGCACCTAATACTTACACAAGTGGACAAGTTTATTTGCTGAAGAAATTAGTTCCATTTAAGAGCCTTGTTTTAGTCATTTTAGACTCTTTTATATGCATCCTACGCCGTTCACTATCTTCTATAGATAGATGTACTGTCCAAGTATGCTATATTATAATCTATTTATTGAAAGCTACTACTTTCTGTTTGATGATTATCTATATAACATCAACTACCATAATAAACAGGACAAAAACTAAACATATCTAAAATTTATGTACCTGAACTGAAATGTGGAAGTTAAAATTATTCCCCCAAAATTAAAGATAGCCAGTGAGCATCATGTGTTTGTAAAATTAAGACATCAATATTTGAATAAGTCTACCTCAAATGTGTTAATTTGGAGGTGGAATTCAAAACAGGATTTATAGGGAAAATTTTCTAATTCTTATAATCCCTCTTAATTTGATTTTCTTGAAGATGATTACTTGTAATAATTTCATGGTTTACAAAAACTTGACCTTGTTTATGTTTCAGGTTAAGCATAATGTTATACAGAATGTATATCCTGAGTTACAGAATCTCTATCAATGGTTAGAGGTTGATTTTCACCCATTAAGTTTGTACACGAGAGTAACCACACCGTTAGATGTTATATCTAAAAATGATGAACTGAGTCAGTATGTACCTGCTCTAGAAGATATTGTCATAACTAGAGTCCTAAAACAGGTAATTGTAATTTATAAAACTGAACAAAGTAATAAACCTGTTGAACGGTAGTGAATAACTAATAAGCTTTTGTTTTGTAAGGTTTTTAAGCCCTTGTTGGGGGGGTTGGATAGCCGAATGGTTAGCACGTGCGCACTGTATTGTAATGTCTTCATTGCGTCAACTGGCGTTGTTTTGATTGTACGTGACAAGTAGATGGTCGTCTGTCCAACCTCATGGTTTTTCTTTGGGTTTTCCAGTTTCCTCCCATTGCTAAAGACACCTATGCGCAAGTGAATTATTGAAATAAAATTGAACCATGTGTTAGTCTCGAAATGACCTAGTTTGTGTCGAGTGAACGTTAATGCCAATTACAAAAAAATTAAGCCCTCATTCCACTTGGCAATTGTATGTGACAAGTAGATGGTCGTCTGTCCAACCTGGTTTTTCTTTGGGTTTTCCGGTTTCCTCCCATTAAGACACCTATGCGCAAGTGAATTTTTGAAATAAAATTCAACCATATGTTAGTCTCGAAATGACCTAGTTTGTGTCGAGTGGACGTTAAGAGCCATTTTAAAAAAATTTTACAAAAAAATTAAGCCCTCATTCCACTTGGCAATGATATGTCAGACTGACTAGGAAAGAGTGTTTGGTAGTGTGACTAGGATAAGTAGTGGTTGTCTCCAGGTAAAATTTTCGATGTGGTGGGGTTAACAAGAAATCAACAGATAGGTATATTGTTCAGGTCTTAATTATTTTACTGCTTGATGTACACAACTCATCAATTTAAAATAAGAGGTATTGAAAATATATCTTAGAAACGTTGCTCAACCCTGCATCTTATGACAGGCATCTCCTGCAACATAGTATGGCAATCTGGTTAAAACACAGATCCTATTTCGTTTCGTTTTTATAGTTCAAAATTTCGTTTTACTTGTCTTGACTACACTTGGATCTGGAAGAGTTATTTAACTCGTGTTCTGAATGGTGTCAGGGATAAGCCAATGAAACGGTCTGTTACGGCAAGCTTTAGGCGTGTTTTGCACGGAACTGTGCGTAATCCACTATTAACATCAATGCTGATTGCTTAATCAAATGTCTGACATCATAGGGTCATAAGTCGGTCTTTTGACCCCTGACGTGACCTATCGCTATAACTTGTCAGATCTTCAGTTAGTGTAGGCCATCGAAAGTATAAAAAAAACGAAACGAACTATAGATCTGTATTTTATTAATCAGATTGCATAGTATGGTAAAGTCAAACCACATTTTTTGCCTTCTCCCATCTAAAACTTCTTGCACTACTCAAATTACTTTGATCGAGTATGTTTAATTAAAAACACAACGCCCATTCGGAAAAAGATTTGTATTTAGTGAGATTTCAGGCTTTTGTGTTACTGAAGAAATTATTTCAATTTGTTCAGCGTCAAACAGAGCCAAGATGAAATTAAAGTTTGATTTAATTAAAGTAATTGTATTTCTATATAATATAATTATCTAAATCTTACTTACAATATAAATATTAATTAATGTGAAACTAAATGTTATGTCCTGAAGCTTAATATGTTTCACAGTGGTTGACTGTTTATTTGTGAATGTGAACTAGTAGAGACCAAATACTTTTTTATACACCCACATTTTCATGTGGATGTATATTGTCGTCGCCTCTGTCCGTCCATAATTGTTTGTGAACAGTCTACAGGTCACAATTTTTATCCGATTTCAATGAAACTTGAAATTTAGGTTTATCACCCGAAGATCTCGGTTCCTTTCGATATTGGCATGTATCGGACTGTAACTTCATGATTATGGCCCCTGATTGTACGAAAAAATCACGTTTTTAGCTTGTGAACATCGTAGAGGTCACAATTTTTATCCGATTTGGTTTAAACTTGAAATGTATGCTTATAACCCAAAGATCTCGGTTCCTTTTGATATTCGTGCATATTGGACCGTAACTTCCTGAATAATGGCCCCTGATTATACGAAAAATCGCTTTTTTAGCTTTTGGACCCTATAGAGGTCATTTTTATCCGATTTAAAAAAAACGTATTATATCACCGTTTCACCCTAAGGACGGCCGAGTTCGAATATCGTGAAAATCGACGCAAAACTGACAGACAAAATGGCTGCCCGTCGTTCCCAAACAGCGTAAAAATATGGTATATCAAGGTTGTGGACCCTATAGAGGTCACAATTTTTATCCGATTTTGTTGAAACTTAAAATGTAAGTTTATAACCCAAAGATCTCGGTTCCTTTCCGTATTTGTGCATATCGAATTGTAATTTCCTGAATTATGACCCTTGATTGTAGGAAAAATCACTTTCGTTTTAGCTTGTTCTTTATCCATCTCTCGAAAATGTGGGCGTATCCTGCTTGACAGCCGCTGGTTTTTATAAGATACGCTTTACCCTTTTACAGAAATATTCTGGTGATATAACATAAAATGAAATTAGTTTTTGCTCTGTACACAATTTAATTTGAGTTGACCAATTTTCACCTGTTTTAAAAACAAGCTCATTTAAAAATTGTGAATATTGTGCAGAAAAGTATAGACATTCAACCCATTTCATTTTAGATTATAAATGAATTGAATTTTATCCTTTTAACTATCAGTAGGACATTAAACCCCATTTCATTTCAACTTGTCAGGCAGTATAAAGATTACCTAAGCACGCATTTATGAAATCCAAAAGACAGTGAATTATAAAAGGTCAAGTTTATAATTTTCAGATAAATGTAGTAGTGGTCGGAATGAGTATTGTGTAGTGTTGAATTACTGATAAAAGTGCTCAATAAGGCCGTGTAAAATCGATAACTTGTTTTCTTTTCCCCATGTTCTGCGTAAGAGGGTGTACGCTAAACACAACACAAACTGTGATTTTCAACACAAGCTTTTGCAAGGCCTTTATACACTATTGATGTGGCCGCTCCTTGTTCACAAATAGTGTAAAAGTGTTAAATTGGTGAAACCAGGAAGCTGATTGGATTTCAGCAATTTCCGTTAATTATTTCTAGAGTTATGGCCCTTGTTTCAATTTGTTGGACCTTGGAATGCTCGAACAACAGCAGTTATCATCTAATCTGTAAGACATTAATATGCATTATTTAAATCAGTAAAACAAGAAAGCCTGTCAAGTTTCAACTATTTCTGTAAATTACTTCCAGAATTAAGGCCCTTGTTTCAGTTTGTAGAACCTTGTATACCCTCAACAGACAAAAATTATAATTTGGTCTGATGAAATAGGGCAGGCATAAAATATAATAATTAAATGATTTGCCTCATTGTTGGCTTGTTTTAATTTGTGTTGAGAAGCTGTTTGGGGGATATTTTTGTACCAATTCGTATCAATTTTACATAGCCTAATGGTCATGTCTCTAGTAATATTATCTCTGATGCTACGGTGTGACTTCTTGATAATTACATCATATTGTATAAATTATGATGCAAGATTGTTTCACCATGTACATTGTTCAAACAGGCTTTTGTGTTACTGAAAAAATTATTTCAATTTGTTCAGCGTCAAACAGAGCCAAGATGAAATTAAAGTTTGATTTAATTAAAGTAATTGTATTCCTATATAATATAATATTCTAAATCTTACTTACAATATAAATATTTATGCTGGATGACAAAATAAATGTTAAAGTGTTCCATGGAAATAAATTTTCTTTTGAAAATGTTGATCTTTAAGGCAGGACATGATGTTGGGAGCAGATCTAGATAACAGAATACCGGGACAGACTTGTTAACTTAATTTACATTAAACATCTAGAAGGCGTTAGTGCATTAATAACTTCACAGGTTAAACATGCATTATGCAAGAGCAAAATCTGCTCAATACAAGTGTTTCTTTAGGCCTGAAATTTTATCTAAATTATCAATGAGACATTAATTAACTTATCCAGACCATAATAAACTCAAGGCTAGCCTTCGATGTTGGCTGGATTAGATTTCTATATGCCGCTAACGGTCATTGATAATTAAATCAGAAAAAGTGGATAATCCTGACTATGCTGTTTATATTATTGATTTTTATATGCCCACATTGAAATGTGGACGTATATTGACGTCGCCCCCGTCCGTCCGTCTGTCTGTCGGTCCGTCCGTCCGTCCATCGTCCACAATTTCTTGTGAACGCTCTAACGCCAAAAGTTATCATCCAATTGTTTTAAAATTGATATATGTTGTTTACATTAGTGAGATGAAGAAGCCTATTTAATTTCAACAATTTCCATTTATTACGTCTAGAGTTATGGCCCTTGTTTCACTTTGTTGAACCTTGTGAACGCTCTAACGCCAAAAGTTATCATTCGATCTTTGTTAAATTTATATGCATTATTTAGATTAGTGAAACGGAGAAGCCTCTTGAATTTCAGCAATTTCCGTTTATTATGTCTAGAGTTATGGCCCTTGTTTCACTTTATTGATCCTTGTGAACGCTCTAACTCCCAAAGTTATCACCCGATCTTTGTGAAAATTATATGCATGATTTAAATTGGCGAAACAAAAAAGCCTATTGAATTTCAGCAATTTACATTAATTACTTCTAGAGTTATTGTCCTTGTTTCACTTTGTTTAACCTTGATAATGCTGATTGATGATAGTTATCATCAGATATGTATGAAATTTATATGCATCATTTAAATTTGTGAAACAGGTCTATTGAATATCAGCAATTTCCGTCAATAATTTCTAGAGTTATGGCGATTGTGAACGTTTGAATGACAAAAGTGATCATGTGATCTTTATGAAATTTATATGCATTATTTAAATTAGTAAAACGAAAAAGCCTGTCAAATTTCAACAATTTCTGTAGATTACTTCCAGAGTTGAGACCCTTTTTTCAGTTTGTAGAACCTTGTAAACCCTCAAACGACAAAATTTATAATCTGATCTGTATGGAACGGTCTTGTAAAGACCCCCAATTACGTACAAAGGAATAAATATGCGACAACCCTTGACGACCGCTCGGACGATTTAGCTGCTGTGGGCGTATGTTTTGTTGCCTGGCAACCTATCTTAGTAATGATGACCGAGACTATGCAAAAATTTCACCCGCTTCTTTCTCGGCTCATAGTGGATCAATTTGACTGAAATTTACAGCAAATTACCGTTACACTATCTAGTTTTTAACTATTATAGCGAGAACTGCCATCTCTTTATCTTATCTCCCATAATGCATCTTTAATAAAATATAATCATCAGTTTGAATGAACATAGGCATTTTCAAATTGAATTATTTGCAAGCCATCTGAGATGTTACCAAGTTAACTTATTAGTTAATGAAAATAACTTACTCTAATTAGTTCAGATGTTGAATTTTTGAAAATTAAGCCTTTTGAATAAACAAAATTTACGTTCTTGATGATTGCTCTTTAAATTATGGAAATAAGTTAGATTGCATATTTAACTTAATTATATAGAAATAAGGTTCACTTTAACAAAAACATTTAGCTGCAAGTTGTATTATTGTTCATGCAAATTAAAAATGATTTGTATGTAAAATGCTGGTCAGCGGATATCTATAAATATATACTATTTATAAGATGGTAAGATTAGCAGATATTATAAACTAGGATTGATATCACACTGATTTAACTTCTATAGTTAAACTGGATTTCATTAAAACCACAACCATGGATAAACAGTTTAATATTTACTAAAATAATAAGAAATAAATACAGAAATTTTAGACAATCACCATTTTATTCTTACTATTATATTTTCAGGTTTCCCAAGTTTATCAAACGATAGAATTTGCCCGTCTTTCTTCTTTGGTACCATTTGCTACACAGTTTAGATTAGAGAGAGTTATTGTTGATGCTAAGAAAACACTAGAATTACAGGTAAGCTGGCAGAATTGCAGGAAGCAGGGCATCTTTTAGTACAGATGGAATATAAAACACAAAATGAATGATTCCAGAATCTGTAGACTCAATATTTTTTTTTTTTAAATTTTATAACAATACGCTTTACTTTAACCCTTTGTGGTGGACAGAATCCTGTATCTGCCGGTAATTACCGAATGCTCTGCTGATGAAGACTGCTAGTCATTTCATAAAATAGGAATCCAGATCATTCTTGATCTTTCATCTTGGGACTAGTAGTTTTTCTATATGATTTACTTATATTAGTTTCAAATATATTTAATTAGATTATGTTAACTACTGTTTCTCTATTATTTTACACCTGATTTTCCATGTAGATCATTGGCTGAGAAAGTTGATTCGGATTTTCCGAAGTGGTGCATGACGGAGGGCACAAAAACTGAGGTCCCGTGTATACATTGGCATTTAAGAGTAGGCCATAGAGCCGCTGCCCGTGCAAAATTTCGCTCATAGTAAACTGTATGGCATATGCTGGTCTTCATTAGCCCTGTTTGATTGACCCCATTTCTTTTTCAAGTAAATCATTTATATTCCAGCAATGTTTAGAATGTTTTCAGTTATTTGCATCCTACGCCGTTCACTATCTTCTATAGATAGATGTACTGTCCAAGTATGCTATATTATAATCTATTTATTGAAAGCTACTACTTTCTGTTTGATGATTATCTATATAACATCAACTACCATAATAAACAGGACAAAAACTAAAAACAAATTCAGTTATGCCAGTTTATTTCATTGGATTTGACAGGGAATAACCCATTAAGATTTTCCTGAAACCTAATTTCCCGAGATAGTAATTATTAGGGGCATCTTTATGTGACGCTGTTTAAATTATCTGAGTTATTTAGTTTTATTCCAGTAACTGTTGGGAGTTACATACATAATGCAATCAATTCAGGATTGATGAATGAGGCTACACAGCTTACAAGTTTGACTTGCATTTTAGGTCCGTATAAACCATCAGACCAGATCATTGAGTTTTGGTACGAATCTTGATGTCGCCCAGCGAGAAGATGTGCCTGAAGGACCATATATACAGAGCATGCCCAGTGAACAGATTCGTAATCAGCTGACAGAGATGGCCAGGTCACTTCACAAAGCCCTGACTTTCATAGTTCCTCATGAAAAACAGGTATGAATTTAAAAGATTACTGGGAGGGAATTGGGACCAAAACGTGGCATTAGAAGAAAATTTAAGTTAAAATGTGCATTGTTTATATTTGCACAAATAATCTTATAAGATACATTATGGGAGATTTTTATAGAGAGTTGGCCATTCTTGCTATAACGTTCAAAAGTAGATGATGAAAGAAGAATATATTGAAAAATTCAGTTATCATCGTTGTAATATTTGCCTAGAAATGGTAGCGAATTGTGTCTTCACCTTCGCTGATCGTTTGATTGACAGGCGTTAACTCCACCTACATATCTCGATTATCAAGTAAAGTTTTCAATGGCACACCGAAATGCTTTACAGCGGCCTCGCTAAGTACACTCTATCATTTAGTCTCGATCTAACTGACGTATTTTCATCAGGTAGCTGAGCCATCCGTGGGTCTACAGAGTTGATTTTGGTCTTTTTGTTTAAATAAAGATCTAATTTATAATTTCTATAACATCTGAAGCCTAAATTAAGACTTGCAATAATCAGATTTAGCTCTTGCATAATGCATGTTTAATTGGGAATTTGTAAACTTAGTATAACATGACAAGCATTAAAAAAAAAATCTTAAGTTTAATTTATAGCTTAAATAAAACTTAAAAATGTTACAAAAATATTGAAAAGTGATGTGATGATAGCTTTAATCCATTCTCTGATTTAAACTTGAATAAATTATCATAACTTAACAAGATAAAGTTTATAAAAACTAAGGGTTTTCTTTAGTTTAACGTAGAATTTATCTTGTAGCTCTGTGATATGGTAATTTATCAAGTTAGAAGCAGATCGGCTTCTAAAGATGTGATTTCGGCTCTGATCTCTTTTGAAATTTATTTAGAGTAAACAGGAGTAGGCTCTTCAAAAGATTTAATATAATCCTGTAATATATTAATCAACCATGAGATACCACCTCACAAAAGAACAATTTTCAGAATTTCAAACTAAATAAACTTTTACAAAGTTAATACTTTGATATATCATCTTAGTTGAAATTTATATCAATTCTGTAGGTAATCAAATACAAAGTACAAACTATATCCTGCATATTTTAAAATTTTATATCATGTTTAAAAATTGGTTAAACTCTTCGGATGTCGAGAAAATGTCATAAACTCTTTAATAATCAAGGTATGCTGAGGTGCAATAAAAATGTGTTGAGTCGGAACTGGTTCAATGCAAGGCCATAAGTCTGGCAGTAGGTAGATGGTGACGGGTTCAACACTGATAGACCCATGTGGACCCCTCACAGTACGGGAAACTGGCAACGTGTCCCCCTGCAGATATTGCAAAATAGTGTGCTCATTTTGTCGAGGCACTGTCACACATCGTTTTCCAGGCCTTGGTCGATCTGTAGTGTACACTGTTGTTAACGATCGACCAGTCTAAGGATGGTAGTGTGAAGGAATCCAAACTTTAGGGTGGCAACCGATATTCGTGTATCAAAAAACCGAATTATTCAATGAACTTTTACCATAAAGATAAACAAGCGTTCTATGGATAAACGGGGGGGGGGGGGGGATTGCTGAATGGTTAGCACGTGCACACTGTATCATAAAGTATGTCATTGAGTCAACTGGCGTAGTTTTGATTTCCCTGTTGTACGTGACCAGGAGTAGGGTAGCCTGTCCACCCTCATGGGTTTTCTGCAGGCCCTCCGGTTTCCTCCCACTGCTAAAGACCACTATGCGCAAGCGAATTATTGAAATAAAATTGAACCATATGTTAGTTCCAAAATGACTTAGTTTGTGTCGAGTGGATGTTAAATCCTATTTCTCTCTCTTGTTTTCAAGTACATCTTTTACCATGCCAATAAAACACCTTGAGTGGTTTTCATGTGATTAAGAGGTGAAATGATGATAGCTTTAATCCATTCTCTGAATTAAACTTGAATAGATTATCATAACTTAACAAGATAAAGTTTATAAAAACTAAGGGTTTTCTTTAGTTTAACGTAGAATTTATCTTGTAGCTCTGTGGTATGGTAATTTATCAAGTTAGAAGCAGATCAGCTTCTAAAGATGTGATTTCGGCTCTGATCACTTTTGAAATAAAAAAAAATTTATAACGCAATTTGCCAAAACTTTCAAAATCTTGTAGCAGGTATGTAATTTCGAACTGTTGTTTTGACCTGCTCTTGATATCATAGGTGGATCAGTCTCCATCTTAGAATGTTTTCTAGTTCAATTGATATTGATTGAAAGATAAAAAAAAATTTCTTTTTCTGTGTTGTATTTAGGTTGAACGAGATAATCTGAAGGTAAAGATTATGGGAGAATATCGAACATCGGCTAAACGGGAACACACCAAGATCCTTCAGAGGCGACAGATTATTGAAGATCGTAAAGAACAGCTTGAACATTTTAATGACCAAAAAGTAAGTTGATCTAATAGTTTATCTTTTAGACTATGTTTCAATTGAGACCAAATTTTGACAATGGTCTTCTCAACATCTGATTTTAGACTAAAGACAATATTTCTGTATTGCCTAAAAGTGAAGGAATTGCCTTTGTTCCACTGGAGTGATACTTCACATCACTTTAGCGTCCAAAGGGGCATATAGAGAATGCCAAGAAATATGCGGTTTTAATTTGTAATCTTGTTTATGAAGGTTACAGAGTAATAACGGCTACTATACAGACAAGAACTTTGTTCTAATCTGTGATGTTTCTTGGTGACATGAGCTTTGAATTAATCCACAGATAATTCATCGTCCACTCAGTTATCAATACTTCAATCATTACCCATCTTTTTATTGATCATCACTTCTGAACACATTTATTTTATAAAATAAAAAGTGGCAAACACAACATTAAATCTATTTCAAGAGAAAAACTTATAGTAAATTTGTAACTTTGAAATTTTTTGTTTTCTGCAGGAGAAAGAAGAGATGGAGGAAATGGAAGCACAGAAGAGTAAAGCGTACGAGGAGGAGATGGCCCGGTTAGAACGTGAAGTAGAGGAACGCAAAAAACATAGAGCTGTCCTTGAACATCAAGAAATCAAACGTAAACATGTTAAAGAAAGAATTGAACAACTCAGAAAATCTGAAATGGGTTCCAAATTTTTGGAGAATTTTGATGAAGAGGTTGGTAGAGAACACATCGTCTGAAATTAAATTTTGTTATTTAAATTATGACATAGCAATATATGTCCGACTGTAATTCTTGTCGTGAAGGTAGGCTGAGCTTTTCAGTCACATGACAAAAAATTTTAATTAAAATTATATATGCCTTTGAGATAAATGTGATATGTTCAAAATAAATGTATTAGTAAATGATTTATTGGTGTACTTTATCAGGATATTGCTGATCTCGATGTTGATGAAATTATGCAAAAACAAGTGGAACAATTAGAAAAGGAAAAGAAAGAATTGAATGAAAGATTAAAATTACAAGAAAGAAAGGTATTAAACTAATAAAGTCTTTCTTGCATATGAATTTTTTTTATAGTTAACATCATTAGGAAGCTTGACATGTTAAATTATGTTGGACTAACCACGAAAACCCTGGTAATTGGTTTTTATTTTGTCAAAGGTGAAATTAGTTTAACCCTAAGCAGGGTAAAGAATATGGAGTTAGTATATATGGGGCGGGAACAAAATAATTTGACATTTGGTTAGCAGTGTGAAATGGTTTTAATAAATTTTTGCTTATCAAATCAAATTTTGATAGCAGTTTTGGTCATTTGAGCTGTCATGAATACTTTGTTAAGACGGTAAGACACTGGCTCACTAGCCTGGAAGTCACGTGTTTGATCCCTGCATGGCAGATACAGTGCATCAGGAATATCCGACATGGTTTCCCCCATGTCAGTGGTGCAGGAAGGAGGGTCTGGCAAGGACAGCTGTCTAGTCATTCGGATGGGATGGAAAACTGAAGTCCTGTGTTTACATTTGTGTGCACGTAAGAGATCCCTTGGCAGTTGGAATTTGATATAAGAGTAAGCCATAGTGCTGTGCCCAGGCAAAATTTCATTTATAGCACACTGTATGGCTTGTGCCTGTCTTCATTAGCCCAGTATAGGAGCAGAAAAGTAGGACATTCCACCCCATTTCATTTTGTATCATGAATACTCAATATTAATTAAATGTAACAGTTTACTTATTTACCATAATAGCCTATAAATTACAGTACAAGAAAGTTTGGCGGTTATTGTTATTTTGGAAAATATTAAAATTTTGAATTCATATTTTGTGCATAACTTGAAAGTTACTGGTTTCAAACAACATGATTTGTATTGTGGAACGTATTTTCAACTCCAATCATTTATGATCCATCACTGGTGCTAATTTAATTCAAACTGCAGATGACATATTTCATGTTGTTGCGTGGTCTGAATTACCCCTACGGCAACAAAGACATTGGTGTAGTTTTGTTCAGCTTGGTTACATAACTGCCATGTTTTATCGTGCAGAAATGGCTTCTGACTAAGTAAAATATGTCACACTTTAAGCATTGTTTTGATCATTGGAAAAGTTACTTAACATCGTCGAAAATCACGAATATTACAGACTGTTAGAGAGAAGAGTGAAGGCATACAGCATAGTAGACACGTTTTCAAGAACCATGACCAATGTTTCCATGCAGTAACATTGGAAATGGATCGCAAACTGCGATGCGAACCCGGTTATTTTGTTTCCTTATATATACGGGGACTAAATGTAATCCAAAATAGAAATAATAACATGATTATTGTTTTAAAGGTTGATCATATTGTACGAGCTCAACGTTTAGAGGAATTACCATTGTTAGAGAAAAAAATAGAAGAGAATCAAGTAGAAGCTAAAGCATTCTGGGAAAAACAAGAGAAAGAAAGAGTAAGTTGAGAAAATAATTTTTTAAAATAGATAATGAATTGAGTAGGACTAACACCATCCACTATGGTAAATGTCCACCATTAATTGGAGAGAGATTGGCTGTGTGGTCTAGATTATAAGGCCTGTCATTAAGTCAAAGCGGCATTATGGAAGATAAAGAGCTGACAGTTCTCGCAATAATAGTTAAAAAATAGATAATGTAGCCTCGGTTGTCATTGTTACCGTTTTTACGATAATAAACAGTCTCGATTATCAAATTTCTTGTGAACGCTCAAACACCAAAAGTTATCGGATTATTTTAAAATTGGTATATGATGTTTACATTAGTGAGATGAAGAATCCTACTTAATTTCAATAATTTCTGTTAATTACTTCTAGAGTTATGGCCCTTGTTTCACTTGTTGCAGCTGTGAACGCTCTTAACATCTAAAGTTATCTACCGATATGTATTAAATTTATATGCTTTATTGGTAAAAAGAATACTATTGAATTTCAGCAATTTCCGTTTATTATGCTTCTAGAGTCATGGCTCTTGTTTTACTTTTTAAATGACAAAAGTTATCATCCGATCTGTATGAAATTTATATGCATTACTTAAATTAGTAAAACGAAAAAGCCTATCAAATTTCAACAATTTCTATAAATTACTTCCAGAGTTAAGGCCCTTGTTTCAGTTTGTAGAACCTTGTGAACCCTCACAAACGACGGAAATTATAATCTGATCTGTATGAAATTGTCTTGTAAATTTTCCCCCCCCCCCCCCCCCCATTACCTCTTAAGGAATAAATATGTGACAACCCTTGTTGACCGTGAATATAATTTAGCTGCTGTGGGCATATGTTCCCTTGCCTGGCAATCTATTTTGCGGTTAATCATCAAGTGTCAAGTCCAGTGTTATAGTCTGGATCCCAGGCTGGTATGTAATAAATCTTGTGGCTTTTATATGGGGTCGGTGGTTTGTTGCTACTGTTAAAATCAAATGAGAGGTATTTGAAGACAACAGTACAATATAATTTTCTATTGATATGTGTGATTAGGGTTGCTAAAGTTTTATTTTAAACATATTATAGATTGAGAATTTGATTGAAGAGAGGAAACATGCCTTAGAAACTAAAAACAGATTGAGAAGAATAAAGGAAGATAAAGATTTATTCATGGCGAAATTACAAGATACAAGAACTTCCGAATACGAGGTAAAAAAAATGACATTCACAACATTTACGTTTTATGTTAGTTTGAAGTGCTGCAACAAACTTGGAAAAATATTAAGGTTGTAAGATCAGACAATAAAATAAGACTATCTTGCATGAAAATGTTTTGTACTTAAAACTTCAATATGAGTTTTTGGGGTTTTTTTTTTTAAAAAGTGTAAATATACAAAAGACCTGTGAGGATATGAGATGTATAAAATGCAAAAAAGTCAACAAGATTGGTTGATTTTAAAGGCAATGCTTAGTTAAAAATACAGAACATACATCATTTATCAGGACGATAACAGATATACACTTAAACATGAAATTACTTTGGTGATGAAGGCAGTTAATTTTTTTTTTTTTTTTTTTTTAAGGACAAGCTGGCAGAATTCCAAACTTTATTAAAGAAAGAGAGACAGAAACGATTAAAAGAAAGAAAAGAAAAACGAAAAATGGAAAGAAGGGAAAAGTGGTATAAAGAGAGAGAGGAAGAACGACAGAGGATCAGAGATGAGCAAATGTTAAGAGGTATGGATATTTATTTGTAATTTTACTATTAATTTGTAGTTCCAATTTTACTGTTATTTTGTGGCATTGTCCAAAGTAACCTAACACACCAGTAAACAATAATTAGACAACAGGCTAAAGAAGTTATTGATAATATTTTTGATGACTGGTATCTTACATGTTAAGCTACAAATCTTATTAATTTTCTGTCAGCCTTCAATATTTAGGCTATCCGATGGTCTATAGAGTTGATTATGGGCTTGTCATGTGGATGTCTTAATGATAATATAACATGAAATTCGAAACCATAAAAAAAGATATGCAACAGGCAGATTAATTATTGCATAATGCCTTGATGTATAGTTTATACTGTACAACTGTTCATTTGGGATTTAGAAATAAATGTTGATATCAGATTTTCTTGTAAAATTACTTTATGCAAAAGTTATATGATTTTCCACTTTTTGTCTTCATTATTAGAAAGTCTTCCAAATTTCTATATAATCTATACAGTAGTTTAGAAAATGGTGCGTCTTGCCATAGATGTTCATTATATGTTATATTTTTCAGAACGAGAAGCAAAAGAAGCTGAAGAACGGGCAAAACGTGAAGAGGAAGAAAAAGAATATGAAGAAAAATATAAAAGATTACAAGAACAGGCAGAAAAGCAGAGATTAAGAGAACAGGAGATAGAAGAAAAACTGAAACAAAAACAATCTGATAAACATGCTGCTGCTGCTGTTCCTGAACAACGTAATATGTAAGTGTATTCATCATTCACTAGTTAAAACAATTTTCTTGTTTGCAAAGGAGTCTATGAGAGACTTGAACAGATAAATACATGATATTAAATGTTTCATATACTAA